TCATAAAATTACACTCTTCATCTTGTCCTTCTTCACTTTCATGTACGTCAAATCGCAGTGTGATTTGCTTAATGTGTTATGTGTTTGTTTTCTCCGCGTGATCTGTTTTATTGCCTCTTGTGATGACATTGCATCACGGACCAGCCAGGATCCCTGCAAGCAATGGTCCCTGACTGTAGGTTATTTCTCAAATCCTTCAGTATCCGTCCTGCCTGTCCTTGCTGGTTTCATTCCGCATCATTTCATATCAAGCTTGTCTATTCAATTCCCATTGACTGCTGAATTATGCGTTATTGGACAAGGACTTGAGCCAATGGGAACACAAAGTCCCTGTAACTCTCGGTCTGATCTGCCTCCTGTCTCGCCCTTGTCGGCATTTCTTTACAGCAGCCAGTGTCAGTGAGTAAGTCAGTGATTTTCTCTAATTGAACTGGCTTCCACGTTTCCAGAGATGCCTGCAGGGAGCTAATTACCTCCTTATCTGGCTGCAGCGAGACAGCTTTGCTCTCAGGAGTTGGGACTTTTGTGAAAGTTGCCGTGTAGCTTAGAGCTACAGCTGGTAAGTACCAGTGTGCTAAATACTGAAGCCAGGATGAGCTGCTTGAGGCATTGAAAGCACTCTTAGGAACAGGACTGGTTAATTCCATACCCCAAAGGCGAAATAGAAAATGTACATGATTCCTACATTAGTCCTACAAGCCACCCACAAATATCCTGAAAGATTTTTATAGGCTTTCACTTTTGTTGCCACTCCTGACAAGAACGATCCCCAGTTCTCAAACCTATCAGAAACCTGATACCACATGATCCCGCTGTCAATAGGGAATGGCACTGGACAGCCAATACTGCAAACCCTTGTGGAATACAAGGATTTTAGCCTTGCTAACCAGTCAAACATTTGACAGTATATGCTGCCCAAATGGGCTTAATATCCACCTTAGTGGTTGTTTCCAACATCTAGGCTAGTGCGTATTATTACTAACAGCAGAAATAGAAAATGCAATGGAAAATACAACTAGAATTCTATGTGGCAACCCTCTGAGAGTCCTGGTGAACTGCCAGCAATGGAGCTCCAGTGTCGGTGCTCAAGGCTCAAGACAGCACAGCATGAGCTCTGATATGACTCTCACAAGGTGTGTATGTGCATGCACGTAGCCTCCGCACTCACTGGTGGCAGATTTGTCTGCTGGAGGCCAAGGAAAGGCCAACAGTACATCAGAAAGGATGTTGAGGACAAAAAACAAATCAAGCATCAGATGCTTCAGGCTTGAAGACACTAAACCACAGTACAGTTCTGAGTGCTTGCTGGGGCTCCACCAGGTCTTGAGAGTCTAAAGACGCCCTAGTTTCCATGTCAGCCCACTTTGAGTACTTCCACTGAATCAGTCATTTGGATATGAAGTCAAACCACTCTTCGGTTTTTGACGTTTTAGAAACGCGCCTCTAAAACCTGGACCCCCATCCTCAACCCTGTGACAAAAATTCTTCTACAGTAAATGGCTTTTTTTTATACTTTTTAACTTTCGTGAAGCCCCTACAGAAAACAAGAACAAGAACCACAAGAGAAATGAACAAATCAAGCACATTATACCCTGGCGGTCTAAACACATTGGACATATAGACTACAAGTAGCCACAGCTCCGGCTTGCATTTCCTTTCTTCTTCAGGCTTGGAGTGGCCTCTGATTATTTTTCTGCAAGGAACGTAATGCATTGCCGTGAGACTCGACATGCGGTGGCACGCCGCCCCCTTTTCTTATGCGAGTCTGGGGCAGCCTCAGCATTGATGTTGGTCGAAGCCCGCTACCCAGAAGCCAGCTGCGCAACCGAACGAGCTGAATGGGTCGCTTGCAGACTCTCATTTGTGTCCTCCCCGGCTGCACGGAGACTCCCACTCCCTCCCAGCGTTGCCCGACCTCTTAAGGCACGTGCCTTTGATCGGTCCGCCTTAAACTCTCTATTTTCCAGCTCTTTAGTATTCGTTCAGTCAAGGCTCCTGCGCCATCGATCGCAGACCCTCCCCCCATTTCCCTCGCCGAGCACAGCCTTGGCTTTCTTCAGCTCAATCTGCCAGAGCGAGCACAGACACACAGGGAATAAGTAATGCTTTTTAAAGACTCCCTATAGACACGCTCTGTTGATAAAAAGTGAAATGATTTACTGTTTATGGACGCACAGGTGTTTTCCTTGAGTAATTAAGCATGCGACAGAACAAACACTGAGGGTTTTCTCTGACGGGGGAATGCCAAGCGGTAGCGAAAGGCGTTTCGTCCCAAGACCCTCATGCACTTGATCTAATTATTTGGTTGAGAGGAATGGTTTGAACCTTTTCACCCTCTCTGATTCGTGTAAAGCTACGCGATCCATTGTTAAACTAATCTTTTAAGTCCTCGAAAGGATTAAGGAGGATAATGAATGCAATTTGTGCCATCTAGCTGATTTGATGGGTGGGAGATTAACGATCCAAGAGTTTTGGTCAATCGATTGTTCAAGTATCCCAGACAGTGAGCTGCAGCCATTTGATTATGAAGCTGCTATCAGTCTCCCACAATTCTTGTGTAAGGTAGTTCTTGCTTTTCTTCTTTGATATTTACTTACTTTTAATGATGATATGTAAAGTGTCACACCTACAGATTTCGTGATGGATCTTCACTTTCATTTTTTTCTTCTGCTGCATTTGTGTCACACTTTGTTACAGGATGCTATGTTTATGAGATGTGCTTCATAAAATAAAGGTTATTATTATCATGGCTTATTTTCAGTTTCCCTGGCTGCGGCTGTAGATCTTGCATAAATTCCCCAAGCTGACCTGGCCAGTGTCTTTCAGGACTTTGAATACTGAATCAACTCCCAATGAAATTTCCAGTGTCCTGGGTTTCTAAAATCCAGTGATCTTAATCTGAGTTTGACATTCCCTTTGGATCAGAGATTAGTGTGGGTGCTCTCCTTAGTATGTCCTCTAGAGCAGCATTTTTTTTTTCTCGTATCATGGTTAATCTGGAGATTATTTGTGCTAGTCTACAGAGCACTGTGTTTTCTCTACCCTAAGGAATCCCCCCCACTCAGAGATAATCAGGGCTCATTACATGCAGTGACATCTGGACACTACCCACAAGGTATGCCTTATAATGGGAACCTTCACAGCCAGCAGCTGACAGACAGCTACTCTTCATGCACAAGATACTCTGTATTTCACAAGATCTTAAGTAACAATACTACGTGGTGCAACAGAGGCCAACAGTAAACGTGACGTAAATTGAAGAGAGTTTAAATGTTATGCAGTTTCTCTTTCTTCAGTCTGGATTAGGTGAGATCGAGGAGTCCAGTAAGCTCATTACTAGGTAATAATTAAGTCTGTCATAAAGCTGCGGATGACACCACAACACAATATGGATGCAGGGTGACTTAAGAACAAGCAGAAGGTCCTTTTTTGCACACAGACTCATGGCTGTCTGAAACACGCCTACCAAAGCAAGAGCATGAATCAGACACTCTAAGATCCTTCCAGACATAAGATGGATGAGATCTGTGGATCGATCAACCACTAGAAGTATACGACCAAGATGAGCTTAATGACCTCCTCATCTGTAGCCTTTTTGTTGTTTTTATTAGGATGTCATTGGCTGTGTTTCTATCAAAATAAAAAAAAAAACAACATTTTACTGGAGCTAAGGTAGGCTGTAGTAAACAAGGCTTTTAAGAAATGATAAAACCGGGGATAAGATACTCTGCAAGTAAAAAATACGACAAAAATTTTAAAAATATAAATAAAAATATAATTAAGTAATTGTCCACAATGTTTGGTACATTTAAAAGACACTCTTGCCACTTATTTATTATCCATGTTTTTGTTCTCTATGTAAGCTAGAGCTGTTCAGAGGAAAGAATGCACATGAGCAGTGATGTCATGTCATAAAACTGCCAGGCTGAAAGGATTCAGTTCAGACTACACTGAATTAAGAGACCCAGAATAAAAGGGATGTAAAATCCTTAATGACGCGGTGCCCTGTAATTAAAGTCGAATTCACTGTCAACTGGTGATCTTTCACCACTACTGTCACGCTGTGATAACAGCAGCTCTGCAAGCTGAATAAATAAGGCGGAGAAGGTGCTGTTTCTTGTGTGCAGATCAAAGGCAATCGTGTTTTTTGTGAGAAGAGAGTCCAGCACACTTCAGTTGTCTAGTGGCGCTCTGGTGAGCACAGCTTAAGTGTTTACACGGAGTGTGTTGTTACAGGGCGCACTGAGAGGAGGGACAGGGCAAAATTCGAATATTAAACAATGACACCCCAGCAAGAGGCTCAGGCAGATATGAACATTGCCCGGACAAGTGAGTATGAAGTCACATGATTGCTGTGCAGTGCGAGATGAATCCTGTGAAAATTATGGTCAATACATTGATCCGCAATACCTTTAATTTCCTTACTATTAATCCGCAGAATTCATAATATTTAAGGAAAACAGGACTATACTGTTTCCACCTGGGGAAAAGGTGTTCACTCTGTGCGGACACTGCTTTCAAAGCAGATGGTGCAGTAAATGAAATTCTAATGTTTTGCGTGACACTGTAAATAATGACAGATAAATCTAGAATAAAACCATTAATGCAGCTTTTTCTACAGGGTGCTAAACAGTAAACATCCCTCCTCCTGTTCCTAATGGTCTTGTCTGCTCTTAAGTGCCAGAGCTGGGATTTTCGCTCTCTGGACTCCTGTAATTCTCTCTCACTTCATGTCCAGTCAGCTCAAGTGTGGCTCAGAATATTGTAATCACAGGAGCCTAGAGATCGCCCAGTCAGAATTATTTATGTACATCTTAGAGGACAAGCGCTTTGGGATTATCTTTTGAAAACATCTTTGATTTCAGTCATGTCTCGCGCCATGACGGCAGCCTGGAGCAAATTCACCACCAGCCTAGATCTTTGCGGTTTTTTTAAGCACGTTACGACGGGCGCAGGATTTCATTCAGTGAACCCAGGTCTTGCCTTGCCCCTGCACTCACCCGCCACCACCCCTGCCATGTACAGGAGGCTGATCCGAAGGATGCCATGGACCATTTCGAGGGGCACGCCAATCATCAGCTGGAGGAGAGCGTTGAATCCGAGCTGCTCCAGCCTGCGGGAGCACAGACCACCGGTCAGAATCCCAGCCAATTTCCACCCCCCTCTGCCCCACCACCACCCCCCGCCTTTTCAAATTTCACTCTCAATGGTTACTTTCATCCGGCCCTGAATAACAGAAATAAAAATCAAGGAGAGCACGAGGAGAGGATGGTAAGTAGCTAAGGACACAGGACATTTAAAATGAGTCAGCTTGTGAGTACTGCTGTTTAAAAGAGATCATGCGGAAATCAGAGAATTCTGGGACCCAAAAGTAGCCGATCTGTATAAGCAAAGGCTGCCAGGCCATCTCAAATGTAACAGGCAGCCTGTAGGTTACATCCTGTCAGGAAGAGGTGTGGCAATAGGCCTGAGACCCAGTGAAAGGAGCAGGAAGATGAAGACCAAGCTATGTCCATTGGCATTGTCCTGCTGAGAAGGACATTTTGAATATAACAAAAAAGCAATATGTGGAGCTGTGGCTACTGATATCCTGTTCAGCCCCGGGATCTGCCATTGAGTTATATAGCACATTGTCAGAGCACATTTAATGAACCTCCTTGGGCTTTGTGCTTCTGATGAAACTTCAATCACAGTACAGAATGATCATAGTATAAGAACCACCAGCATCACCAGTTAGGCTCCTTTTATTCGGTCCCTCAATATTTCACTCCCAGCCTGCCTAAGCATTTTCAGTATTGATCAATTGTATGTGGTTTGGTGGTTCGGTAGGGAAGGTAAAAATCTTTTCACCAGGTGATTTCAGTTCAGGCCCTGGCACTGCTACTGCATCACTGCGTGCCCCACAGCTTTTAAACAACTTTTGAAACCTTCACCTTTTCCACACCCACTTTAAGAAACTACAGGAGTAGAAATACAAGGCATTTTCTCATCGCTAATCCCCGTAAGTCACTTGGCAATGAAAAAAATCCCCTTCTATGTGAATAGTTACTGAACTTCATCTCTTACCCAACATGCATGAACATGTAGCTGAAGAAACGCCACACTTGCGCCCTGTGGCCAGGATGGTACACCAGGGGACTCTTCATGAAGTCTGGCTGGTAGGTCTGTAGAACCCACTTGTTTAGCATGATGCCGTAACACAGAAACACAATGATCTGGGAAAGAGCAAAAAAGGAGGAACTCGAATTAAACAGAGTCATGTTACCACTCTGTGATCTCCTGTCCTAAGCAGTACACTGTCTGTGTTTTTCTTGATAGAAGCTTTCCTAGACATTTTCAGGACCCTTTACTGCTTGAGCTGCTCAGGGACCTATGTAATTTTATAGTTTTTTGCACAAAACAATGAACAACCTTAATACAAGGAGAGGAGAATCAAAATCAAAGCTTCTGCCTTGTGCGGGATTTGCACTCCTATTTTGTTACCAAGAAAACACAGCAACAGGACAGGACAACAGGCGGAGCAGCTACAGCTCTGCTGTACAACTGGTGCTTTTATTGGGCCCGACACAGTGAAAGGTAACTCGAGCGAAACCCTCACCCAGAAATCGATTTAGAAGAACAATATGAGGGCTCCTGAGAGATTCACCCACGAGCAGTCCTTGTCTGGAGGACATCTCCATCGTTAATTAATAATAATAATAATAATAATAATAATTGCTTACACTTATATAGCGCTTTTCTGGACACTCCACTCAAAGCGCTTTACAGGTAATGGGGACTCCCCTCCACCACCACCAGTGTGCAGCATCCACCTGCATGATGCGACGGCAGCCATAGTGCGCCAGAACGATCACCACACATCAGCTCTCAGTGGGGAGGAGAGCAGAATAATGAAGCCAATTCATAGATGGGGATTATTAGGAGGCCATGATTGGTAAGGGCCAATGGGAAATGTGGCCAGGACACCGGGATTACACTCCTACTTATTTCGAGAAACGCCATGGGATTTTTAATGACCACGGAGAGTCAGGACCTCGGTTTTACATCTCATCCGAAGGACGGCGCCTGTTTACAGTATAGTGTCCCCGTCACTATACTGGGGCATTAGGACCCACACAGACCGCAGAGTGAGCGCCCCCTGCTGGCCCCACTAACACCTCTTCCAGCAGCAACCTTAGTTTTTCCCAGGAGGTCTCCCATCCAGGTACTGACCAGGCTCACACCTGCTGAGCTTCAGTTAACCAATGGGATTCCTTCGGCAATGGTGAACGTTTCAGCCGCACAGTGGGCTGGGGAGGTTTGAGCTACCTGAGCCCCCCTCAGCTTTCCATGACTTACCCAGAGACAGATACACCACTCCTCCGGTCAATGTTGACTCTCCCTGGGCTCTGGTGAGCTAGCGGATTGAAAATTGGCAGATGGCTGTGTCAAGAGTAAATGTTGCAGGAAAAATGTGCCCCCCACCCTGAACCCCCCCAGGCCCAAGCTGACAGAAATGTCAGATCGGTTCAGTTGAGAGGATTAATGACTGAGGGTAGAAAAAGAAAATCGCGTAGTGTAACGGCCCTGTCTTCCCAGTCTGAAACGTTCTTTGTCAGTTATTTCACTGACACAACTCATTTACAAGAACAATTACAGCTGCTCAGCTCAAACGGGCCTCAGATTGTCCCCAGAGCTCCTCTGGATTACAGGAGCCCTGCGATCGCCCTGTCAGAATTATTTATTTACATCTTACAGGACAAAATGCTTTGGGATTCATTTTTTGTAACTTCATTTCACTAAAGTCTCTGGCTGGGACTCTGCTGGAACGCGGACAGTTAGCAACAACAAATCTGCAACATAGTCAGCGGCATTTTCCTGGATGTTTTATGTTTCAATTGTCAATGTACCAGTGCAAGTGGAACAGAGGATTCATTTAAATTAATAAAGCCTTGGAAAATTAAAGACTCAGTTTGTTTTTGGCATCGTCCAAATGACTTTCATTAGCTGCATACTAAAACGCACTGTGGTTCTTTTTTCCATAGATGAAGTGATTTTTTTCTAAGACAGAAAGGAGATTTTAGGGTTTGTGGGGGTCACCTGCACCGTGGTCAAGAGCTGTGCCAAATGACCCTTTTCCCGTTTTGCTCTCCTCTTGCTTTTCGTAAGCCGAACAAAATTAAACAGACCTCCCTAGAAAAAAAAAATAAAGAAAAAAGTCTTTTTTTCCTCTTTTTCTGGGGGGTGACCGCTAATAGGATCAGCCCAAGCTGAAGTGATGACAGCCTTCACAAGTGTTTACAGTGATGCACGATAATGAGAAAACAGCAGAGCGCAGGAGGAGGAAGGAACCTGCAAACAACAGTGCTTCTGGAACCATCTTCCACACAATGGCTGGGGGGAGGAGAGTAACGTTGTTCATTCCTCTTCAGCGTAACGCTGAGATTCAACGAGACCTCTCACCCCTCATCAGATAACCCCCTACTCTTCTGCAGTACGCTACTGACCCCAATTTGATAACGCACTTACACGTCCTCTTGTTCAACTGGCAAGGGTGTGTCTGATGCTGTATGTGTGGGACATCCGAAAACTGTTGACATCACCGGTCTTTGTCTCCCAGAGGCTACTGTTCGGCACCCTTTAAATAACAGCTTCAACATTTCTTTTCAGAAATGTGTTTTTCCTTCACAAATGTGCAATGATAAAGTCTAGGGGCACAAAAAAGGAACTTGAGCACTGTAACACCACGCATCCTACACGGCACGAGTGGCACGGTGATGTGGGGGCAGCTCTCCAGCCTCACAGCACCAGGGCTCCAGATTCAATTCTGGCCTGGGCACCTTGCCTGTGGAGTCTGCATGTTCTCGCAGGGACGACATGGGCTTTTGCAGGGTGCTTTGGATTCCGCTCACCAGCCCAGTGAGATGCTGCCTGCAGCAGGTTCGATGACGTCACCCGTGTGAGTGTGTGCCCTGCCATCGACTGGTATCCCATCGAGGGTGAACTCTGCCTGCTGCCCATTGTCTGCCATGTCGAAGTTCAGCTCACCACCAACCCTGTATTGGACTACGCAGTTACTGACCATGAACGGATGCATCGTCTCTGGCTTCCCTATTCTCCTCTCTCTCATCCCTGCCATTCCAGTGAGTAACTGTGGACATAGTGGGATACCCCTTCTGTCCATCACACAGTGGAGAATCAATATTCCTGGAAAAGTGCTTTAAGCCACTAAGCTTTGTCGGTACGACTGGTGTGCCATCCCTCAAGATGCACGGGCTCTCGGTAGGAATTGGAAGCCTCATTTTAATCCCCCTTCTCACCTCTCTGAATTTAAACCATAACAGCAGCAGAAACCCCTAGACTTATCACAGTGGGAGCAGACTTTGCGCTCACACCAGACTTATGGAGTAAGTATTAAAACAGGCCTGTAATCAATAGTCATTACAGTTGCCCATGCAGCGGGCAAGTCATTTATTTCAGTAACAATTGCCTCTGTTGAGAGAGTGATGGTAGTAATTTATAACGGAAATTAATTATTTGTCAGCTCAGGTAATAGATATTCTCACTGCCAGCAATGCTGTTATTAATATATATAGTGCCAGAGGATGAATAGATAAAAAGTCCCTTTTGCTGTTGTTTTGATGGAATACAAAACTACAGCACGAGAAGATGAACATTTTCTACTGCTTACTCTACTGTAGGGGTATTACTTTGGTGTCCTGGCCAAATTTCCCATTGGCCCTTACCAACCATGGCCTCCTAATAATCCTCCTCTCTGAACTGGCTTCATCACTCTGCTCTCCTCCCCACTGATAGCTGGTGTGTGGCGAGTGTACTGGTGCTCTATGACTGCAGTTGCATCATCCAGCTGGGGACAACCGAACAGGTGGAGGGGAGTCCTCTTTATTTAATGCTATTAAGTGTTGTGTCCAGAAAAACACTACATATGATTATTGACTACTACTACTGCCGTTGCTGCTGCTGCTACAACTACTGCATTCAGGAGTGGATTGTATTGGAGTATATGACAATTAGACAGGCTTCAGAATAGTCCAGGCATTGTGTTCATTGCTCTTAAAATTGTTCCTATTTTAGTCTACAGAGGTACACAGCAGTTATTTTCACCTACAGGACTGGGCCAGTATGGTTAGTGATCTACCTTATGAAGCGAACATGATGGACAGCAGATCATCTATAATTAAAGTGTCCTAAGGACATGGAGAATAATAATAATAATAATAATAATAATAATAATAATAATTGCTTACACTTATTTAGCGCTTTTCTGGACACTCCACTCAAAGGGCTTTACAGGTAATGGGGACTCTCCTCCACCCTCACCAGTGTGCAGCCCCACCTGGATGATGCGACGGCAGCCATAGTGCGCCAGAACGCTCACCACACATCAGAATACTTGTAATATAACCTGTGGACTGTATGTGAATCACTTTTCACCATTATTTTTGGAAACTGAGAATTTTGTGCGAGGTAAAACCGAATTATTATGGTGTCTTGTTTAACCATGATGGCTTCATGCCCTGGTAGACAGAAACACCACCCTGGCTCTGGCCAGCTCGGAGCGGACCGCCTCCGCGGCGCCCCCGGGCCCTGTACCTGCACGACGGTGACGATGGCCATGAAGACGGGCGGGGGGCACAGGCGGCTCTGGTGGAAGTACCAGCGCCGGTCGGTCTCGCAGGGCAGGATCTCATAGGCCACGTAGCGCACGAAGCGCTTGTACACGCCCAGGCCTGTCTCGTCCAGCAGGATCTCCCTCTGCAGCGTGCGGCGCCCGTTGGCGATGGCGCGGCGGAAACTGCTGGAACGCTTGCTGCTCATCTGGGCCGGCGGAGAGGAGGGGAGAGAGAGAGATGGAGAGAGAGAGACAGTGTGGTGTGAGCGGAGAGGCAGACGCAGCTGCCCACTGGAATAAACACTGGATAGGGTCAGACAGAGGAGGCCTGGCTGTTTCACTATGGATGAGGATCCCTAATTGTGCAGCTTCTGCTGTTATATCAGCCTGTGTTGAACAGGGACACCACCTGACTTAAGTTAAACGGCCCCATCTGGGAGTCAAAGCCTCTGTTCTTGCTGCCTCATCGCTATGAATCTCCAGTTTAAATCAAAAACAAACTGAAACAGTTTGCGAGAGAGTAGAGATGAAGAAAGCCAATCAGCCCGGGCTGAAATGAGCTGTCAGCTTATCAAAGGAACGGCAAACCATGTGGTGCTGCTATCTAAGTTTAGTTAAGGTCCAAACGCTTGCGGCACCAAAAATAAAGCACACACATGCAGCTCCTTGACAATTCTAAAGCGAAGCAGTGAAAGCAGTAAAGACCTGGCTGGGAAGCTTAAAACAAAGACCAATTAAGCCATTTTATTGCAATCTTCTGTAACGGGGAAGGCTTTTTAGGTTAAAATAAAATGTGTGACTAAAAAATGCACTGAAGGTTTAATTGATTAACAAAACACAATCTTTTGCACAACTGTATACAAACTGCAGTCCATTGGATGTCTGTGAATAGGTTGCATTTTTTTGTGTGTAATGGGATGATGGGGTCAGATCATGGACCATTTTGAGAGGTGAACAGATTAGTTAAAGCTAGAAGACCACCTGACCAGCGTCAGTACTAATTACCAAAGGTGAGATCAGTAATTACAAAGATGATCATTTGGTCTGAAGCAACAAGATGGTGTCGTGTAATGCAATCAGGCCTGTTCCACCTGTGAGCAACTAATAACCTTACCCATCTCAGGTGGATCAGGCTGTTGAAGATCTGCTTTGGCTATGCTCTTGGCTCTGTGGTAATGTTTGCTCTGAACCCAACTCTGTTCTTGAATCCTCAAGTTCCTGCCTTGAGATTTGTCATGGATTTGCTTCTCTCTGACCTTGTCTCCTGCATTTGCCCCACTTGGCCTTGAACTGTGACCTTGGTTCTGACCAGAACTGACTATTTGCCTGCTCAGTCCAGCCTGCCCGTGCTTGCTCGCTTACCAGTCCCACCCTGCACCTGGGTTCTTCTCATGACCCAATGAACACTGTTTTACTCCAGTATGAGCAGCAGTATTACACTACAGATACACTGTGAGTATTGATTATATCATTAGTAGTGTGTGTGTAGGATTTCCCAGCTGTTTAACTGGCCATGTTGCTCCAGGATTGAGTCAGCCAGAATATTACAGGCTTGCTGTGTCTCTGTGAACTTGTAGTGAGAGCTGCATCAGTCCTCCAAACCACTCTTCTGATACCACTCATCTACAATACACAGCAGATGGTGTTTTTCATAAGGAAGTCCCAACCTTGTCCCTGGGCTACAGGTTGAGACAGTCGATCTGAGCTAATCAGCAGTGGATGAATAAAATATGCAGGGGAGGGGCTGGCGGTATGTAAAAATATAATACACAAAAGGAGGACAAATGCAAAATGGTGTTAAAGAGAGTCCCTACAGATCCTAGTGTCTCCCCATTAAAGTTACAGGTCTGACTGCATTATATGGGCATATAATGTTTAATATATCATATTATACATTATATGTTTAATATGGGCGGAGCGGTGGCACTGTGGCTGGAAGGTTGCCAGTTCAAATCCCGCAGCTGGCAGAGGAATCCTACTCCATTGGGCCCCTGAGCAAGGCCCTTATCCCAACTGCTCCAGGGGCGCTGTATAAATGGCTGACTCTGCACTCTGACCCCTGTGTGCCTGTGTGTCTCATGGAGAGCAAGCTGGGGTCTGCGAAAAGACAATTTCCTACTGCAAGAAATTGTATATGGTCAACAAAGTGATCTTATCTCTTATATCACAAACATATCTCAAGGCTTGAAATTGTATAGCTACTATATCTTGAATTCAGTGCATCATTTGTGGCCTTGAAAAACTTTCAGTTGAGCCAACAATTAGAAATCCACTGATTAGCTACAGTTGGCTGAAAAGAAACAACGAAAGACCTAACGGCGTACTAGGAGCTTTAAACTCATGTTTTACATTTTTAATAAATGTAGGACCGTAACTTCCTTACCAATGTTCTTCGACCACAATCATCAGGCTGTGAATGTCTTTGCCCTGTTGAAGGCATGCTGCTTAAAATCACTGTGGAGCAAATCCTGCACTTGAATTATTACTGTCTGCACAGATCTCGCACTGTGTTTTTGCTGAACCGCGTAACGCAATCCCATAAAGCATACCTTGCAATTTATTAGATGGCCCTCCCAGGTATTACATTACACAAGTCGATAATGAGAATAAAAAGGTTAGGGAACAAAAAAAAAAAAGAAAGAAAAGCAAAGAAAGGAACTGTGCCCAGATTGCTAGTTTTTAAGAATGAATGCTCTGTTGTTGCTGGTGCAGTCCTACAGCACTGAAGCAGAAGTAAAGATGGACCTGAACAGAGAGAGAGAAATTCAGCCTGATGTTTTAAAGGAAGCTTAAAGACCACTTTGTTGCCACTGAGTTTAAAAACAGCAGCTGTGTGTGTACCCTTAGCTGATAACCGCTTAAGTGCTGATGCCCTTTCCTGACATCAATGAATAAAACAGAACTCTCTTTTGTATGGAGGAGTAGGCGATTTTTAAATTATGTATGTAATCTGAATTATCCCTCTTTCATGCAAAAACGGAAGCTCTGAGTCAGAGTTTTTCCTTTTCTTTTGGGGAAAAAAAAAACTATTTTCTCTTTTTTCAAAAATAAAACACCACAGATGGGTTTACAGAGGATGTCTTAGTAAGCCTGGAAAATTCACACAGCAGTTCTGCCACTCTAAAGAGCTTGCTCTGTAGGAGACAGCCAGGTCTTAAAGAAGAAAGATAAGAGCTGCCTCTTAGTGTACTATGCCAGCCTTAGGGAAGATGAAAACAACCTGTTGGGGTTTGTGTAATGATAGTGTGGCAAGTCTGATTTTTATAGCACTTTAACATCAGTCCCAATGTTGCTGATTCCAGTCTGGGGTGAGGCTGTAGCTCATTTTGACCAGGATTTCTCAATTGGAGGGGATGAATAACTGGCTAAGTGCTGCTAAAGCATGGAAGTTTTCAAATCAGCTGGAACACCATTAGCTGTGACCACACAACAGCGCCTCCTGTGGCTTTCCTGGTCCATGCAATCGCACAGTGCTGTCAGCTCACCTGAGCTCGGTGGACCACGACATTCTTGCAGAGTGAAAAACAGTCCTCAGCCACTGTGGCACAAAGGTCATCATATAAAACCAACTGTTGTGGAAAAGAGCCTACAATGTCCCATGCTTGGCGCTGTAAGATCACAGAGGAAGGGAGCTGAGCTAATTTGGGGATAATGGGAAGATTAATTACTAATTACATGTTTTGAGGCAACAAACAGCAAGGAATAATGTGATACTTTGCTGTGTTTGTCCACAAATGCTTTAAAGCATTTATTACACTTAAATAGGTAAATCCAACTTCTTAAATGGATTTCTGCATGTCCTGGTAAAATTTACTTTTAAAAGAAGAAGAAGAAAAACACAATTTATTAAGTGTCGATCATTTGTTAAATGAAATAAAAACTACAAGGTCAGCTTTGTAACCTTTGGTACCAGTGGAAACTGTTAAAGAGTGCAACAGTGTAACTTTGTGCTTCGGAGGAGAATAGAGGACAGTGGTGGGAAAGTAACAAACTGCTACTTACTAATCACACTTACTGGTACATAAATACGCCATCATATTTTTAGGCACAAAACTATAACACTTCTTTCCAGGTTGTAAGATCTTTTTATTCATCTACTAAATGACTGATGATGACTAAGTATCTACTGTCATTTTAATACATGCACCAAGAAAAGGAAAGAAAAAAAACCATTTACATAGCTTCTTACTCATTTAATTACTTTCAGAATTAAAGGCTAAGTGGTAACTACTGCTAACTGTAATGATTAAAAAAAACAGAAGACAACAGATCAAAAAATGATACAAAATGTGACAGTATTGATCTTAAACTAGTATTAAAGCGTTTAAGGTGAACACATTTATATTGTCAAGGTTAGAAAGATGCTTATTGATCCAGTAGTTTATTCACTAAATTAATACTACTAGCAAATAATATATTATATTATGATATATATTATATATTATATTATAAATAAAATATTATATACTGCAAAGGAACAAGTAGTAGGTTTATTCCATGCTGAAAAAAAGAAGAAAGAAAACACAACGTTTCATTCGTGGAGCCTTCTTCAGGTGAAGAAGAAGGCTCGTGAAGAAGTTCCTGAAGAAGGCTCCACGGCCAAAACGTAGTGTTTTCTTTCTTCTTTTTTTCAGCAGGGAATAGACCTATTACTTATTCCTTTGCAGCCTACGCATGGTGACGCAGCTCCCCACCTGAACTAATATATTATATACTGTAGATGAGTGATCATATTAACCAGTTCATAGACAGAACTTTTAAGCTCAAAATCCTAGTCCAAATCTTCTATGATTATTTTACTTATTGACTAACCCCCTTTAATAACCCCCCCTAAAGAAATATTGTCTTTTTTCCTAACCCTCTATTTGTAACAGTATAAAGGTCAGTTTTAGAGATCGGAGCTCATTCGGATTCATAGCTTTAGTCAATACAGTATATATAAAAAGACTTAACACACACTGTCTGAAAGCAGACAGTGAGTAAGTAGATTTCGAAATGGGGCTGGAAAGTTTGTGCAGACCCAAAGTGAGACGGGAAGGAATTAGGATGCAAAGCTGAGCAACAGTCAGGGGCCTGGTGCCTGCAGATAACCGAGACAAATTCATATTCATGACATCATGATGAGATGCAGAACTGCATATTAAAGCAGCCTCCCTATTTCACGATTACAAGCAAAGGCGCTGAAAATGCAATTTAATGCACATTA